AACATTTTGTTATTTGAGTTATTTTTGAGTTGAGTTATCACCATCCAGTGGCTTGTCATTCCTGTTATTCTGGCCTTCAGCTGAAAATCTCATAGCATGTTCCTGACACCATAGTCCTTAGTCAATTTTTTTCATGACAGTATATTTGTCAAGTATATATATCAACGTTACTGACCTTAACTTTGCTGATGATATTGCTATTATATCTGAGTCCTTGGAATCCTTAGTGGTGGCTCTCAATGCATTTAGTAATGAAGTGAAGCCCTTGGGGTTAGAGGTCTCCTGGACCAAGACCAAGATCCAGGACTTTGGGGACTTGCTAGGAGAACCTGTTCGGTCGGTACGTGCTTGCAACGAGGACATTGAAGTCACAGAGAGCTTTACATACCTTGGTAGTGTAGTTCATTACTCTGGGCTGTCAGACCAGGAAGTCAGCATATGGATTGGCCTGACAGCAGTGGTCATGAACTCTCTTAACAAGAGTATTTGGAGATGCCGGTACCTGTGCAGAAGTACCAAGCTACGTGTCTTCAAGGCCCTGATAATGCCACTTTTGCTATAAGGTAGTGAAACCTGGACATTATCCTGTGCCTTGGAGTCACGTCTTGATGCCTTCTGTAATAGGTCCTTATGCCGGATCATGGGGTACAGTTGGCGGGACCATGTGTCCAAGCAACGGTTGCACAGTGAGACTGGTGTAGGACCTGTTACCTGCACAATCTGGGATTGCCAACTCAGGCTATACGGCCACCTGACTCACTTCCCCCAGGATGATCCTGCCCACCAGGTTGTCTGTATGAGACAACCCTGCGTGGAGGAAGCCTGTGGGACGACTTAAGAGGTCATGGCTTGGGCAGATCGATCAGACCTGTCGTGAGGAGCTCGAGATGGGCCAAGTCCCTGCCTGGTGGCTTGCCATGAGGGACCCCAAAAGGTGAAAGCAAAGGGTGGATGCGGCTATGCGGCCCCGTCAGCATTAGCCCCCAGATGATGATGATATTTGTCACCTGACCCTCAGCCAAATTTTTTCTTGATGTGATGTGCATGTCACTTGAATCCAAGGGGTTAAATTTGACCGATTGTACTGCAGCACACTGGTTGAATAGTGCATGTGTATCTGCCTTCTAATAAAATATTCATACCTAAAGAGTAGGTTCACTTTCAGGAAGAATCACGAGAGCCATGGGAGGAATATGCAAATCTCTTCCATCTGCCCTATAGAATGGTGTTTGCTGTTGCAACCCAAAATGCTGTTTTGCTTTATGATACACAGCAGCCAGTTCCCTTTGCAAAGATCTCAAATATTCATTACACACGCCTTAGTGACATTGCATGGTAAGTTTTTTATGGACAGAATTATGTTCTATCACAATGTTCATCATCCTTCTTTTAGTGTACGAAAGTGGTATTAACTGAAGTATTCATATTTTGATAGTCTTATTACTTTAGCATCAGCTGTCAATTATGTTATTTCCATTTACTACATTTTGGCTGAAAGGAGGCCTAACATTTGAAGGCTATATAGTTATTAGGATTGATTTGAATAATTGCCTTTTCTACATATTTACTTTGGGCTATTTTCCTCTGAAATCTTTGAGAGTTATAGAATATACTTTTATTAAGCCAACATGTGGGCAAATTCTGATACAAGCGGTTTGTTACTTATAAGATGACCTTTTAGTAAAGGCAAAGGTTTGGTAATAAAGCAGTAGCTCCATTACTTTAAGGCATATTGATAGAATAACCCACAGAGTCATTTGCAATAGAAAATTGAGGCAGGATACCTTCTGTTAGTAACTAAATAGTAATTTCAGTTAAAGAATTTTTTTTTTTTAGATGAGTAGAATCAAAATTATAATGACACAATAGTTTTAAGGTCCATGTTAGTTGCATCTGGAAACCAGTCAAACTAGAGTATTACCTTTACAATCATTGGTTTTGAGTGTTTTGACATGTTCATTTATTTTAGGTCCTCTGATGGGCGCATCCTTGTAGTATCATCGACTGATGGCTACTGCTCTTTGGTTTCTTTCACGGAAGAAGAAATTGGTATTCCCTACAAAGGAAAGGTTATTGAAACTGAAGCAAAGAAAGCTGGCACAAGTCCAAATTTTTCTGCAAAGCCTTCTTCAAGAGCATCATCACCACGTGCATCATCACCACGTGCATCATCACCTCGTGCATCATCACCACATGCATCATCACCCCGTGCATCATCACCATGTGGAGAACCAGAAAAAATGGAAGCAGAAGATGTTGAGCCTCCAAAGAAACCAGTTGAAAGTATTGCTGTAAAAAGGTTTGTGTAGAGTGTGTATTGAACACGTTTCAGGATGTAGCCACAATTCTCAGTTTTGTACAAAATACCATATTTCACATGCCAAAGTAGATCTTGCCTTTGCATTGTCAACACTTCATTTACCTTTTAGGAAGCATTAAGTCTGGAACTGATTTCAATTCCTTAATTATGTTTTATGGTTTCTGTTGTAAGTTTTATGAGTTTCACTTAACAGAATGTTTCAAATGTGTGAATATTTTAATTAAATGTCAGATGAGGATCTATGAATGAATGATTGTTATTTTTTATGATGAATGATATTGAAAGATGATGACCTCCCACAGCAGCAAGAGTGGAAAGAGAGTGTCATTAATTACTCTCTCTGGTCCAACCCATAAAAATGATGAGAACACACCAACCGTCAAAGCAGACACTACGCAACCTCAAGTGAATGGACACTCCCAGGTATAGAAAAAAATTAGTTACTATTGTTGTTTTGTTATTGTTATTATTATTACTATTACTGTTACTATTACTATTACTATTATTAGTTTGTTTGTTAGTTTTTGCTGTTTTTGGTTATATTAAGAATGAGTATAGTTTGTCACTGCCCCTTTTATATGGGGCAGCGTCGGTGGGGGTGGCAGAGGTGGCATCCACCCGGAGCGACTGCCAGAGGCTGAACCTCAGGCGGGAAGTTAGGGTGGGGGCTTGGAACGTCCGTTCTTTGCGTCAGGATGATCGGTTGCCTCTACTGTCGAGGGAACTGGGGAGGCTGAGAGTTGAGGTGGCTGCTCTCTCGGAGGTGAGGAGGCCTGGCAGCGGCATGACCTGTGTAGGTGGCTACACCTACTACTGGTCGGGCCACAGCGATGGCCACCATCTCCAGGGAGTAGCCATTGCCGTCTCCAGCAGACTCCAGCCCTCGGTAGTAGAGGTTACTCCTGTTGATGAGCGTATAATGGTATTGAGATTGAAGCTTTCTTTTGGCTTCATGTCTCTTATTGCTGTGTACGCTCCTACCGATGTTTGTAAACTTGACGTGAAAGAGATGTTCTACGCCAAACTTACATCTGTGGCAGACAGATGTCCTCGACGAGATATTCGCATTGTTCTGGGCGACTTCAATGCGGTATCTGGCTGTGATCGAGCTGGCTATGAGATGTCTGTCGGTCCCCATGGTTCAGGAGCTGATGCCGGTAGCGAGAATAGCCTCCTTTTCCGGGACTTTGCAAGATCCCAGAAATTGAGGATTTCTGGCTCCTGGTACCAGCGCCCAGACCCACATCGCTGGACATGGTACAGTGATGCGGGTAACGCAGCCAAGGAGATCGACCACATACTTGTTAGCACTCGTTGGAGGATCCTTCAGAATTGCAGGGTGTTCAGGAGTGCTGAGTTCTGTGGTACTGACCATAGATTGGTTGTGGCTACCCTCCGGGTCCACTTCAAAACCCCCCAGCGGTCAAATGATCACCCTAGGGTGTTTCATTTGGACAGGCTGAGGGAGGGGGAGTGTGCCCGCAGGTTTGCTGAGGCAATCTCTGATCGTTTCGCAGTGCTTGGCAGTCTGACAGACCCTGTTCTTCTGTGGGATACCTTTAAGCGTGAAACGCTTGATACAGCTCAAGATACGATTGGTGTACGCCCGAGAGCAGTACAGAATTCCATCTCGCGGGAGACACTGGAAGCCACTGATGCATGTCGTGCGGCTCGTCTGACAGGGGATCGGGAATTGCACCGTTCTCATGTGCGCAGAACTCGGTCCCTGTTAAGAAGGGACAAGGAAAGTTTATTAGGAGTCTTGCAGAGGAGGTAGAAGGCCATTTCTTAGTAAATGACCTTCGTCCTGCATACCAAGCCCTGAGAAAGCTGAACTCCAAGCCCTCTTCACAGGTGACAGCAGTTCGCTCAGTAAGTGGTCAGATCGTTTCAGATCCTGTTGCGGTGCGGGGACGTTGGGCTGAGTATTTTGAGCAGCTGTACCAGGTTGACCCACCAACAGTTAACTTGGATGCGGGTAGTGTCGAGATCCCGCTGCCGATCCACCTATCAGTGAGGACCCTCCCTCCCTAACTGAAGTTAGGGGGGCGATTTCCAAGCTGAAGAGTGGTAAAGCAGCTGGTATCTGCGGCATACCAGCTGAACTGTTAAAGGCTGGTGGTGAACCTATGGCACGGGGGTTACATGCTGTCCTGGCTGCCATCTGGCAGTCCGGTTCCGTTCCTCCTGACCTGTTGAGGGGTGTGGTCATCCCTCTCTGGAAGGGGAAGGGGGACCGTTGGGACTGCAGCAATCACCGAGGCATCACACTGCTCAGTGTACCAGGCAAGGTTCTTGCCCCACCTTCTGAGACGTATCAGAGACCATCTACTGAGGCACCAGAGACTGGAGCAATCCGGATTCACTCCTGGTAAGTCCACAATAGACCGTATCCTCGCGCTTCGAGTCATTGTAGAGCGCCGTCGTGAGTTCGGGCGTGGGCTGCTTGCAGCCTACATCGACCTCAAGAAGGCGTTCGATACGGTGCATCGGGAGTCACTTTGGGAGATCCTGAGGCTGAGAGGAATACCAACAAGGATTATTGGACTAATAGCAAGCCTGTATACTGGTACTGAAAGTGCTGTAAAGTGTGGTGGGGGCCTGTCGAGCTTCTTTCCTGTTAGTTCAGGAGTGAGGCAAGGCTGTGTCCTTGCACCAACTCTTTTCAACACTTGCATGGACTGGATACTGGGCAGAGCTACTGTTCAAAGTCATTGTGGGGCAACGCTGGGCAATATCAAGGTTACAGACCTTGACTTTGCTGATGACGTTGCCATTCTATCTGAGTCTTTGGAAACCCTAGTGGCGGCTCTCGATGCATTTAGCAATGAAGCGAAGCCCCTGGGTCTAGAGGTCTCCTGGACCAAGACCAAGGTCCAGGAATTTGGGGACTTGTTAGGAGAACCTGTTCAGTCGGTACGTGCTTGCGGCGAGGACATTGAAGTCACAGAGAGCTTTACATACCTTGGTAGTGTAGTTCATAACTCTGGGCTGTCAGACCATGAAGTCAGCAGACGGATTGGCCTGGCAGCAGGGGTCATGAACTCTCTCAACAAGAGTATTTGGAGATGTCGGTACCTGTGCAGAAGGACCAAGCTACGGGTTTTCAAGGCCCTGATAATGCCAGTTTTGCTATACGGTAGCGAAACCTGGACATTGTCCTGTGCCTTGGAGGCTCGTCTTGAAGCCTTTTGTAATAGGTCCTTGCGCCAGATCATGGGGTACTGTTGGCGGGACCATGTGTCCAACCAACGGTTGCACCGTGAGACTGGCACAAGCCCTGTTATCTGCACAATCCGTGATCGCCAACTCAGGCTATACGGCCACCTGGCTCGCTTTCCTCAGGATGATCCTGCCCATCAGGTCGTCTCTATTCGAGACAACCCTGGATGGAGGAGGCCTGTGGGACGACCGAGGAAGTCATGGCTTGGGCAGATCGACCAAACCTGCCATGAAGAACTAGAGATGGGCCGAGTCCCTGCCTGGCGTCTAGCCATGAGGGATCCTCGTAGGTGGAAGCGAAGGGTGGATGCGGCTATGCGCCCCCGTCGGCGTCAGCCCCCATGATGATGATGATGATGATGATAGTTTGTCACCCCCCAATTGTACAGGCATTGCAAGTCCAATGCATATCTCAAGATTTTTAAAAATCTGCACAGTCTTTTGGCAAATAGGCTCTTATATGTAGGACATGTTAATACCCATAGAACTTTATATATTAAAGTGTATGATAGAACATTACACTGTTGATGAAATAGAATATAAACCCACTATCCAGAAAATAGATTTCTTTAAAAGATATGATTCAGGTCTGACCAAGTGGAGGACAGGGAGATGATATAAAAGAGTCAGGGTAAAGCAATATAGTAGAGCAAGGGCAGGTGAGGATAGTGGAGACAGGTCATTTCAGGTTAAGTTGGTGTACCGTTTTGAGAAGGATTACTGGCATATGGCAGCTTATTTATAAAGGAGGATTCAACCTGGCTCTGGACTTGGACAGCAGTGGACAGTAAGACAGTATGGTCTAATTAAAATCCATCTGATAACCCATTTCCCACCTATGAACATTCTAAGTGTGTCGCTTTACATTTTAGATTAAGACATTTTGTAGATCACAGTATCAAAGATACTGTGATTCAAGTATCTGTAATCCTCTCATGGCAGAGAGGGAGATGCTTGGAGAAGTGTATATACCTCCTACACAATGCCACTGTAAGGACTACACCAATATTGGCAAGATTAGCTTTCATAGACAAGACCATAAGTTTATAAAAGTGGAGTGTCCTGTCCTGTTCTGTCTGGCCATATCAATCCCTTCCCTGTCAGTGTCACCCTACACTGTCACTCCACAGTCCGCCACCCTCTATGTGCCCAACTTGCTTGTGACTGTTCAAATTGCTCTGCACAATTATGCATGTCTGCCAATTGTGGTGGCTGTCATAGTATATTTTATAGGAGCTGCCCTGTCCACAAGCTTGAGTCTGAGGTAGCAGTTCTCAAATTTAAATTAGGCCTCACTATACACAAGACAAGACAGGAAGCATGCTGACAAGATTTTTCTCTTGCTTCCTATTCCAATGCTATCCTTCACTCTGCTCCTCTCCCTTCCGAAGATGTCTCAGGATCTCCCCCAGTATCTCTTCCCCCTACTACTTACTATCCTGCCTCAACTCCCTCTCTTCCCCAGTCAAAATCTTTTTCCAGTCTAAATCCTGATATTTAACCTGTTGGATCTAGTTCCGTCATGGAAATCATGGTGCTGAAAATATGGGCAGTGGGTTATGTAAGTAGCCAACATTCTGGGCATGCAATGTGTAGGGTGGGTGGGCACTTAACACCCATGAGTGGTGACAAGACTCTGTGCCTTGTCTTTGTAAACTTTTTTAGCCTTTTTGCCATTTTCCAATGTCCATATTTGTCTTTTGATTTGCTTTATCCAGATTTTAATAGCTTATTTTCCTTGCACAGACTCCATATTATCTCTCTATGTAGGAAATAAATACATGTGCAGCATGGAAATGGCATCCTCCCAGGAGCCAGCTCATTTCCAGTCACAGCTTACACACGTTACATTCCACATTTGTTCATCAATGGCAATAATGCTAAAGCCCCCTTCTAAGCGCCAAATGAGTCAGATCACACTCCAAAAGGTTTGTGTACTCGTGGCAAGTCACCCAGCCCTTGACCCAGATTTTCCCATGACATAGGATCATAGGGCTTAATCTCTACCACTTTCCTGGTGCCTGCCCTTCATCCTCACTTTACCTGTCACACCAAACAATTAAAATGTTCCACCCCATCTTCTACCACATCCTGTCCTACATCCACCTCTTTCTCTGCTCCTCGGACATCTGTCTCTTGTTCTCTTCATTAAAAAATAGAAGAGGGGATGATGATGATAATGATTTCTGACCTATCCACCCAACTCCCCTCCAGAAACTCTTGAAGACAATAAAAAATTTCTAAATGTGACCCAAGAGAATGCTCATCTCTACTCCCAATCTCTTTTACATCTAATTAAATGGTGATATCCATCCTCTACCCCTCTCCCTCCCACTCTCTCCCAACACACCCCATCTTAACTTCTCCATTTGCCCCATGGACAACAACACCTCTTCTTTCTTTAATTACCTTTTCTACTCCCACTTGGTTGCTCATGTGACTCCTTTCAGTCACAACAGTGTCTTTCTACACACCCCTCCAGATGTCCTCATGCTTCACCTTCCTTCACCCGTAATGCCTTTTTCCCCTTTACTAATGGAAGAACCTCGCCTAAAAGCCCATCGAGTCTAATCTTCCCCATAGAGCTTTGTGCACTCACGGAGAGTCATTCCTGCCACCCAAGCCTTTAGCCAGACTATTCATAATGGAACATTCCTGTCACCCAATCCCTTGGCTTAATTTTTCCTTGAGAGCATATTCCTGTCACCTGGTCCTCAACCAAATTTTTTTCATGACATAACAGGCATGTCACCAAGATCCAGCGGAATAACAGTTTAATAGGGTATTCCATGGGAAATTTTTTTGTATTGTATTATGCACAAGTGAAAGAAAAGTGTTGCCTGTATTATTTTGTTTTGCATATTCAAGTGTGATGGGACATAGTTTTGAGTTTTTGGAATTGTATATTATAGTCTGGACACAGTAAGCATGATTTCACAATTCCTTTTTGTTTTTGTTAGTAAAATGTAATGATAAGATAAGTGCATAATAATTTGTTGGATACATTGGCAGGGAGAAGCAATGGAAGTTGATGAAGAAACCAGGAAGAAATTTGAGGGTGATGATCAGAGTCCTACAAAAGGGCCAAAAGATCCTTCACCTGCAAAAACTCCCACTGGAGTGACCAAGACACCAAGACGAGTGCCACTTATAATGCTTTCCAGCCCCAAAGGGAAAAAGAATATTGTGAGTGAGTCGAGATGAGTTAACAGTTACTGCTTTTTGTTGATCACTTGATGGATTCTGTTAGCGGTTGAACTTCCCCTGTGATAGTGTGCCCAGTGATATTCAATGCTACTGTACTTATACAGGGTTATTGATAGAGAAGAGAACAGTGATTTTTTAGAGCTTTTTTTAACATCAGTTTTGTTATTATATATTTTTTTATTACTTTACTTACCTTCAAAGGTTGCAGGCCACATATTCTGTGAATATAATGACCTGTGAAAAGTTACTTCTTATACTTTTTAAAAACATTCAAAATACACTGGTATGTGAAGGTTTTGGAAATAAACACTACGATCTGCTTTCATAATGCATAAGAACTAGATGTGAAATATCTTTAAAAAAAGAAGAGAAAAAAAAAATCATTATTTTTGCAAAGTAAATGTATGTCTTTGCTGATAGTGTTTACTAACAAGACCATTTTGATACTGTAATAAATTGTCCCAGGGAATAGATGCAGGAGTATAGTTTCAATGATAAGCTAGAAAATTTTATTTGTAGAACTGGCAATTATTGTATATACTTGATACTATCATACGGAATGGCAGTGTCACTTCAAGGAAGACAAACACTATGCAGATTGCAGAGTAATTCCACTACCTCCCATGCTGATGGGAAGAGAAGGAAGCACAGACTATCAATTAATATTTTTGAAGTTAATTTTACTCTTTGGTGCTTTGCAGAAATTTGTCTTTAGGAAGTGCATGTTTTGGAGGGGAGAAATCACTTTGGATTTGTTCTTTGTGCAGGAAACTTTTTTCTTGTTTATGCTACTGCAGTGTTTATAGTTTAGTAAATTATATATGGAACATTGCATTTTATATCAATAACAAGCTAAATTTGTGTGTAGTTACGCCATGTAGAATGTAGGTGTCATATTTGATATGTATTTCTTAAAATAAAAATTAATCTATATTTAATTTTGAGTATATTTACCCATAATATAGAATGAACTTCACTGTCTGCTGCTCAGGATGGCATGTATGTACATGACTTACCCACTGTTAGTTTAGTTTTTAACCTGTAGCCGACAGGTGGCATATATGTACATGCCATGTCTGTTATGGACCGAGAAACTGATGGAATCATATCATGCCCCTTACCGCACCACTTGTTTGTTGGATGGAGTTTGTTTTTCTCTGATAGTAGCGGCTTCATTTATGTGGTAAAGATTTTAGGCAATGGCACCTATATTGAAGGTAAACCTTCAAAATTTTAATATTTTTATTAATTATAGCAAAATAAAAGCTTTTAGATGCCAAACGTCGCTTGCAAACTACCGATCGAGCCGGGCGCAAACAGAGGAAACTGCCGATGCGCGCCAACAATCCTGTTATTATGTCCATTTGCCAAACATTTTTACCTGTTGGCACTGGGCTAATTGTGTTTACACATGGATGGTTTCACACGTGCTTAGTCAGGGGTGGTCAACCATGGTCTAATAGTATGTCATCCTGGCATGAGAGGATTAATAGAGGCAAAAATGTATTGGGAAAATGTGATACTCATTGCAGTGTTGTTTTGTTAAACTATTTTTTTTTATGCTATTAATATCATGGTGGTATTATTAATGATAAAATCATTAAAGATTTTAACAATACTATTTGCAATATGAAATAAAATATGAAAATCAAAAAAAATTACAAACAGGTGAGACCGGTTGTACTAGTGATTGACTTATTGGTGACTAAGCACTTGTGAAGCCATAAATACAAATGATAAACTGAAAAAAGCGTGGGTATGGCATGTCCGTACATGCCTTCCAAGGCAGCATTGGGTTAAATTCAAATGATCTTTTGCCCTGTTTCTAAAAAGTAGTTAGATTTTAGTTTTAAAATTTGTTTAGAACTGAACATCTAAGCTGCTGAAATGTTTGCTTTAATGCAATTCATTATATGGCCAAATAACAACAAATCTCATTTTCCAACTGTGTACTTTTTTGTCTTTAGCTTCATTGTATCTAATATTATTATGCTTCTATAAAGAACACACGCACACACACACAAAAAAAAAATACAGCTAATTAGATTTTCTGTACTTGAATTCACCACACTGCCGACAATATGGAAAAAATGGCTCTGTCAGGTATTTTTTTATATTCAAACACGGCAAAAACATATCTCCAAACAACCTGTGGCCTGCAAAGAGAAATATATATGCATATATACCTCATTCTGTTTATGGTATTTGACCCAATAACTTGGCATATCCATGAGATTGGTGTGCAGAAGGGCAAGAAAGTTTTGAATGTAACCTGTATATTCACTTGGCACATCCAGCTGCCAGCTAAAGTTTTGGCATCAGTCCTCAAAAAGGGAGTATTTTACCATGCAACATATTCCTCCATACAAGTATGAACCTCTTAGAAATGAAGAAAGTGTAATAAATTTTAATAACATAAGCAAATAATATCTACAAAGTGGGACAAGTTCCTTTTTTAGTGATTTTTTATTTTAATTTTTTTTTTTTTACGTCAGTATTTACTTATGGAACTTTCTGGTCACTTTTATTAGGCTGTGTCCACATGATGGGGCAGTACCCTCACTAGACAAATTTTATTTGGGATGCCTCTAACTGATATCCACCTCAAATCAGTAAATGGATTGAATATCAGTGAATTTTTTGCTTTTTGTTTAGATTTAATATTTTCTTTTTAAATCCAATAGCCGTCTATGTGTAATGTGGGCAATAGCTGTCCTCACAAGTCAAAATCACTCAAAAACTAATGTATGTCTACCAAAATTGTTGAAGTTGACAAATAGTATCACTAAAGACTGACATTAAAAATCATTGAAGTTGTCATCCAAAATTTAGCATCTGTCAACATGAAAAAATGTGCATATATATTTTTCAGCCTTAAAAATTTCTGGCTGTTAAGGTCCTCTCATAAATAGCTTAGAAATTGGTTAATTTCTTCTTTTTTCACAAAAAAACACCTCCCCAAGGCAGAGTAGTAAGCACAGCTTCAATTTGGAGTGCTTGTTGCTCTGGAAGGAAGCATGACAAGGGTAGACAAATTGAAAAAAATTATGAGAAATTGAGAAAATTTGTATAATTGAGAAAATCATTTTGAGAAAAAGCACAATTGAGAAAAGATATATAAGTGAAAAAATAAAGTAAAGTAAAATAAATAAAAATAAAATACAAAGAATGAATGGGAAAATAGGTTAGGACTGTTGAAGCCATATGCTAAGGTTCTGCAGCAAGCCAAGTAATACAGTTGCCTGGCTGTTGGTCTAGAACAGTCACCTTGGAGAATTCCCTGGGCTCATCCATGGGCCAGAGTGGAAGCTCACTCACCATAGATACACTGGTAAGTTCACTCAACTACACCCAAGTCTGGCTAACCTGCCTTACTTTTTTCTCATAATCATTTGCTCACTTTTGTTTGGTAGCTCATTCATGCTTGTTGTCACACCATGCCACTTCATTTCATAAGGGTTTCAGACAAGAAGCACAGCCATGAGGTTTTTCTCTTTATTCTTATTCCAAAACTGAACATCTAAGCTGCTCCTCTCTCATGTTCTCCAGATGTCTCAGAATCTCTTCCCTTTATCTCGATCCATCCTACCTCTACTCCCCCTTTCACCCCGTCAAATTCCTTTTTCAGATTAAATCCAGATACTCCAATCTCTACCACTTTCCTGATACCTACCCCACCTCCTCACTTTACTTGTCGCACCATACAAACTAAACTTTCTACTCCAACTTACTACCTCCACTCCTACACCTTTCTCCTCTTCTGCTCCTCAGATATATATCTCCTCTTCTGCTTACAAGAGAACCTTTGTTTCTTAGTCCTCTTCACCCAACTCCCTTCCAGAAACTCTTGAAGAAGACATCCAAAACTTCCTAGAGATAACCCAAGGGAACACTCCACTACCTCTAAATTTAAAGTATTTGCCGATATCTATCCTCCTCTTCAAGTTCCCCCCATCCCCCTTCCTCATACACTCTCTCAACACACCCCATCCATTTTACCACTCACGCGAATCCCTTCTGTCACAAGTGTCCTTCTCCAGACCCCTCCCCTCCTGACACTTCCTTGATACTTTACCACCTTCCCCAGTCCCATTTTCTCGTACCTACAATACTTCTCCAACAGCCATCTGTTTTCCTTGAACAATGTCCCTATTGCCTCCTGTCACAGATATACTGTAATGCACTCAATTGCCCTACCTCCTAATAATCTCTGCTCTACTTCATTTGCTCCCCTCTTTCCACTTTTCACTACCATATTATCACATGACGCTCTATAATCTTTAACGTCTAAAGGCGCAGTTCAACTGGCCTTATGTACTCGCAGGTCTGGCCACAAGTGCAGCTATCTGAGCCGAATCGTGTAATTGTGAAATCTGTGTGTGTGTGTGTGTGTTTGTGTGCGTGTGTGTGTGCGCATGTGTATGTGCGTTTTACTGTTCATACACCCCTGATATCAGTGGGTTAAATAGCAAGCATTGGCTAGTAGTAGCACTGAAAGAAAGTGTGACATGCCTTTCACTGAAAGTGAGAAAAAGATAGTCATATGAAATCTGATTTGAAGAGGTATTAACAATTCATTAATCTGAAATCCTTTGATTCTTCATTACTTTGTAAGGTTCACAGTTTTGTTGAAAAGGTTTCCAAAATAAAACTCAATGCAATGCAAAAGTAAAGTCATAATTTGTCATGATAGTGTACAATAAACATCCACCTGAAAAAAAATTCAGATCTTGTATATATGCAGCAGTGTATAGTTTTTTCAAGCAACTTTCAAAATCATAAGTTGGATAATAAATGTACTGCTATGGCTGTATTTCAGTGGTCTTGATCAAAAAACATAAGACTGACTTGGAAGTTGTGATGCACATGATATAAAATAGAAAAGTGCAATCTGCTCTTTTTTTTCCTTTTTGTTTTCCACATTATGGAAAGTTAACATCATAAACAAGATGACACCACTAGTCCTATTGTCCTAGTATTTAAAATATCAACAAATGCAATTTGAGCAATGAAATAGAACAAGTACAACCTTTGAAAAGCTACTTCCACAAAGTAAAAGTTGAGGGCAGGTGGGGGAAGGGAGAAAGAAACCTTGGGAAAAAAAAGAGAAAAATATTGCTGAACAGATAAATATATATTACAAGCCAGTCATTATCAATGCTTATATTCTGATAGCCTTCGTATATTATAGCAAAGTCTGAAACCACAAAAGTTTTTTCTTGGAATAATTAGCAAATAAGAAAACACTGTAGATATCTCTTACAAGTTTTTCAATCTCTACCCAATTTATGATCTTTGAAAAATTATGTATCTAACCTATCATTTCCTGTATATGAATATTAATCACAATAAGAA